CTGCCTTAGTCCTGTCGCGGGGGACTGGAGAGTTCTGGTCAGCTGCTTCCAGGATTTTTCTTCACTGTTAACAATTTTAAAGCTTTGCCGGGACTCCTGTAGGTGCCAACGCACGCGTTCTCAGCAGCGATCCTAGCGACTGGTTTCCCGGCAGTTCGGCAGTGGCCATGCCCTCCGGCGAGAACAACTTCACACGCACGTGTTTTTGCCAGGAAATGGGAACAGCTCGCGCGCTCTTCCTAGGCGCCCATTTCCATTCTCGGTTGGGGAAAAGGTGCGTTTCTGGTGACGAATTGCGAAGACCAGTAACCGCGGTCCCCCTGGCCCTTCTCTTTCTGTCTCCACCAAAGCCCAAGCCCCACTCTGGAAGAAGTCAGCGCCTGGGCTCAGTCGTTCGACAAGGTAATGCTTACCCCGGCGGGAAGGAATGCCTTCCGGGAGTTCCTCCGAACAGAATTCAGTGAAGAAAATATGCTTTTCTGGATGGCGTGTGAGGAGCTGAAAAAGGAAGCTAATAAGACCGTTATCGAAGAGAAAGCAAGGACAATCTACGAAGACTACATTTCCATTCTTTCTCCGAAAGAGGTACGTACCCTACTCCAGAGGTTTCCTCCCAGGAGGCCGTTGGTCAAATGAACCCCCTCAGGGTCTGGTCACCTGACACGGTTACAGTTACTCCAGAATAGAGAACACACTGCACCCAGACTCGTGGCATTCGGGTGCCTTTGACTGTGGTCTCACAAGCGGGCTCTGAGTGCCCCCGAAACGCTGTGCCTTTTTCTGGGAAAAAAAGCATTCATGACTTTCCTCAGATTCTCCAGGAGGGGGAGTCTGTGCATTTTATTGTAAACACCGCTTAAAACTATTCTACCCTGTAAGCATTTCTTTAAAGAAAAGTATCCCCTTACTCTGAGCAAAATCTTTTTCACAGGTATTTTTATTTTAATAGAAATAGCATCACTGATAGGATACGGAAGCCGCGTAGGTTTTCCCTAGGGGGTCCTTTCCTTATAGCAGAGAAATCAGATGAGTGAAATCAATCAAGTTTCCATCCCCCGTTTTTGTTCCTCCAAAGCTAAAATCTAGGGGGTCAGGTTGATCTCAAAACCTAGTATCTTGTAGCTCTAATTGTAAAATCACCCATTCTTTCCTCCTACGTGCCCCTAAGAATATCAAGTCAATAAACCAGGGCCTCTCCTGTCAAGGAGCTCGGTCAAGGGGGCAGACAGACATGGAGTCCCTGGTGTGCCACATGGGCCGGCGGAGTGAGCCATCAACGGGGGGGTGGGCCAGGAATGAGGCACAGGAACTAGGAGATGCCATGGACGAACTAAGGATGTGAAAAGGAAATGACCAGAAACACAACGGGATGAAGACATCCCAGAGGACGGGACTCGATGTGCCAAGGGTAAAAGCATGCAGTCCCGTGAACTGTGAGAACGTCAGTAGTTTGGCACCCTGACCGTGACACGTCTCCCAAACCACTAGGGCTGCTGGTAGACAGCAGGAAGAGAGTTCAGGAAAGGGGGCGGTCTAAGAGCATCGAAGCGTTTGGGGGCCATGCTGAGGTTTTCTGACGGTCATCTTGGGAAGCCCTCGGATGTTAGCCTGGCAACATCGTCGAATTTGGATTTTCAAAAGACCAGTGTAGCTGCACAGTGGATTAGGAGGAGACGAGAGGCGGGGGAAGCTACCAGACTGATTACTGCAGACAGGACACGATGAGCCATAGTGGGGTCAGCTGGAGGGAAACCAGAGAGGCGGGCTTTCATTTGAGGTGAATCCCAGCGTCTGGACGATTCCCACATGTCTGGGCGGGCTGGACGGCGGCGTAGTTCATGGAAACTGGGCAGACAGGACGGGGATCATGCCTGGGAGAAAGACAGTGGGGCTCCACTTTGCTTAAGTTTGTGTTTTTACATTGGAGCTACTCCGCTGACAGACGTATGAATGTAGAGTTCAGAAAAGTCATTTCCAGTTTGGGTTAACAAAAGCAAGAGAATTTTCGTCCTTCAATATATGGCTTCTACACATTCTTATTTAGTCATGATTTTGCTTCCTTTTTTTGAGATGCGATTTGTCATCACTGACTTTTAAAGCATCAAAGAACCGAAACACTTGTTAGCAAACGTGTGAAGCAAAAAAGGATATGAAAAGGTGACCCTTTCTTCCCCAAAGTAGGCATCTATTACTTGAAATATAACAGCATCGACATTTTTGAGAGCTTAGATTTTGGGGTCAGATGCACTTGGGTTTGAACCCTGGTTCTCTCGTTTAGTGGCTCCGTAACCTTCGGTATATTTCCGCACCTCTCTGGGCGTCTGTTTCCTCATCTGTACAAAGGGGACATCACCATGTCCCTGTTCGTTTGGGAGGATTACACGGGAGGACAGGTGCAGAGCCCCAACACAGCACCTGGCAGAGTCGTCACACCCTGGGTGGCCCCTTCACGAAGCAACCGCCTGTGTCCGTTCCGTCATCCCGAGCGGACGCTCCCAGAGACCTTCTTCGTGCGGAGGCCGCAGAGAACGAAGTAATTCCGTGTGCCGCATCTGTGTGTGAGCTAGAATGTCCCCAGTGGTTTCCGTAGTACTTCGGTTTAATTCTCCAACAAGAGCAGATGATCTCTTCTTCCTTCCAGCCAGTGATATGTATCAAGCCCCTCCTTCGGCAGGAGCCGTGCCCCTGGGCCCCCCGGGCCTGACACTCGGGAAGCTTCTGCGAGAGGACTGCCTCGTGCTGAGGGCTGCCGCAGGAATAAGCTTGGGGGCCAGGGGCCAGTAAAGGTTCTTCACGCAGCAGGGAAGATGTGTGCGTTCAGTTCTGCAGCCTGGGGAAAGTCTGAGCCCAGCGGCTTGCTCTGGTCTGGGAGACAGCCTTCTCTAGGACGAGGCAGACATCAGAGAAGGAGCCGACATCTCCTAAGGACTTCCTGAATTCCACGCACTTTAAATAAATTCTCATTAAATCCCCCCACCCCCCAGCTACCGTCATCATCATCCCCTTTGTGGAGGAGTTCGCTAGGGCACGGTTTACTTTGCCTAAGCCCCCAAACTAAGCGGTGGCATAGCTGGGGTTTAAACACAGGCCCTGTGCGCTTTTAACCCTCGCACAGGGCTCTGAGTTAGCTTCCATACGGCAGCCGGCCCGGACATTCCTGGAAATCTGTGACTGTGTTCTTAGCTGGCTACAGCCTGGGACCTCCAGGTTTTAGCCCTAATGGTGTTAAGAAATTAGCAAGGGATAAGTTTGTGCATGCTTTTTTCTTCCAAGGACATTGTACATTTTAAAGAAGGAAAACGGGGGTATCTGGATGGCGCAGTTGGTTGAACATCTGACTCTTGATCTCATAGTGTGTGGGTTCGAGCCCCACGTGGGGCTCTGTGCTGATGGCACAGCCTTCTTGGATTCTGTCTTTCCTTCTCTCTTCCCCTCCCCATCTTATGCGTGTGCTCTCTCTCTCTCTCTCTCCTTCAAAATAAATGAACTCAAAATAATTTAATAAATAATAAATAAATAAATAAGGAAGACAAGGTTGGGGTTTTCTGAAGCATCGCGATCCCCACTAGCATTACTTGTGAGAAATACACATCGTCACGCCTTCCCCACACCTACCGAATCAGCCACTCTGCAGGTGGGGCCCCGCAATCTGTTTAACAAGTGGCTTCTGATGCCGCTGAAGGTAGAGAACCCCTGTTCACTATGTGTTCCGTTTCTCTTTCAGCAATTTAGATTTTCGGATAACTTTGTTTGGTTTGGGATTTAAAAAAAAAAAAAAAAAAAAAAGCCACGGGAGTTTGGGATGGGTCTCCGGAGAGAAACAGATCTAACACAACTCTTACTTGTTTCGATTGGCAGGTCAGCTTGGACTCCCGCGTAAGAGAAGTCATCAACAGGAACATGGGAGAGCCCTCCCAACACATATTCGATGACGCCCAACTTCAGATCTACACCTTAATGCACAGAGACTCGTATCCCCGGTTCATGAACTCTGCCCTCTATAAAGATTTGCTTCAGTCCTTATCGGAGAAATCAGTCGAAGCATAGGATGTTATCAAATGTATTTATTATTAATAAAATAGTAAAAGAACTCATGGACTATGTCTAGTACAGGGAACTTAGAGACAGTAGTATCTTCTTGCTAGAGTCATCCGCGGGCTATTTTAATAACAGATGCTTCCTTCTACAGAAGGCTATGTATTCAGAATGTCAGTTGCAGCCACCGTTAGTGACACTTTTGGAAAACGACGGGTACGGCCGCCTTAGAAAAAGATAGTATGTTTACATTCACAGTAACAGTCGCATGTCGCGAATGGCGAAGGATATACTAGAAGACTATACTGCCTGGGGCATGTACGTCCACTGGAGCAAACAGGACTGCTTTCGTTTTGTCTGAGTTCAGTATCTGATGACTTTCCTCCCAAAGAAAAGGCATTCAAGTGTTTCTTAGCTACTCCTTCCTTCCGTCGGGCTGTCTTGAATGTTTTGCTTATCAGTGCCATTATCAGACCCCAGTTCCCATCTGACCAAGATGTGTCACCACTACTCATAAGGACGGTATGGCGCTCTCAGAAGACGCGTATGCAGATACATATAGGTGCATGTGTATCTATACCAGTTAATGTAAGGAACTGTGCTCTTAGGTGGGTCGGTCTCCTGTTCCGTAAGGGAAGTAGTGTTTAGAAAATTTTTGTTGACAAGTCACTGTTTTATCATCGCAATCTGCCAGCCTAAAGAATGGACTTTTAACTCACAGCTTAGTCGCGTTCGTAACAAAACTTTCAAATAAGCATATTTCCGTTTTTATTATTCGAAGAAATATGGGCATTTTCACTCTAAAAAAATAAAGCACAAGAGTTTTATCTCTTTTTTTTTCACATGTCGGTATTTGGGAACGTCCGATTAAATAAGAAGGGTTACATGTGAGGTTTAGGCTCTGGCTTACTACTTTCCTTACTAATCTGTAGGGGTCCCCCGGGTCTTCTACCCCTTTCTCATTGTTTCAATTACTGCCAACATGCTCATGGCTCCCAAATTAGGACCCGGTGTAGATTTCCTCCAGCACGTCACAATCAGCTGCCGGCCGGACACCTCCCCTCGTATATCCCAGAGGAGTGAAACTCATCCAGATTCTGACTTCTCATCCCACTGGCCCCCCACCTCCAAGCCCCTCCCCAATCACCCAGCCAGTCACCTACGCTCCTATCCGGGTGCTAACTTTTCCCTGCTTTCTCCTCGCAAACACAATCGCCAAGCCCGGCTCATCTTTACTCAATATTTCTCGTGTGTCTCTTCTTCCTTCTTCCCATCCCCTTGATCTCACACCTGCCATCATCATTGCCAAGAGCCCCCTAACTGGTCTCCCTGCCCCAATCTCAGCCTTTCAAATCCACCTTCCAAAATGCCACATGTTTCTTACACGCAAATCTGCCCAACATCCTCCCTCTACTCCTTAGAATCTTTAGGAACTCCGGATTGCCCAGAGTACAAATACCAAATTCTCATTACAGCGTACAAGCAAGGGCCTCTATAGTCGGGCTACGGCTCCCTAGCCAACCCCACACAGGTTTAGATCCTAGAATATATGCTTATAGACAAGGCACTTCTTACCTTCATAACCACTCATACCGTTCATACTCTCTGCTACCCGCACCCCTCTCTACAACGCCACCCTTCAGTCAGCTAACTCCAGTCATTCCTTTAAGATTTACCCACACACGACTGACTCCAAGAAGCCTTACCTGACCTCCTGATTCATACTTCCATTGTGCTGGGTGCCATTCTTTAGGATTCCAGGATTTTCCTATATGGATACTTACCTGAGTTTACAAATTATGATTACCAATCTGTCCCATTAGACCGAAAGCTCCAGTGGCATTGGAAATAAACCTTATCGCTCATTATATATATAATCTAGGAACAGTATTTGATAAATGTTTGTAGAACTGGAGAGTTATACCATGAAAACAGAATTTCCCATAATTAAGAAAAAACAAACATTCCATTCCAAATTTGTTTCACAATGTGTCACATCTCAGAAAGAGATCATCACAGCCCATGTGGCTATGGAACTCACGACTACTACCTACTAATCCAGTGAGTAAATGGGTAGTGACATCTATGTATACGAAAGAATCCGGAAGCCACTCCGAAAGTATCCTTCAAATTCAATGCAATTCCAAGGTTTTTGAATATTCTTAAGTAAACTTTGAAGAGTTTGTTGGGGTGGATGGCGCTCCATTTGGAAAAAACTGATAAATAAATAAAAATTCCGGGACGGTTTAAAGATAAGAGCTTTTTAAAAAAAGAACATTATAGGGGCGCCTGGGTGGCTCAGTCGGTTAAGCGTCTGACTTCGGCTCAGGTCGTGATCTCACGGTTTGTGAGTTCAAGCCCCGCGTCGGGCTCTGTGCTGACAGCTCGGAGCCCGGAGCCTGCTTCGGGTTCTGTGTCTCCCTCTCTCTCTGCCCCTCCCCTGCTCACGCTCTGTCTCTTTCTATCAATAATAAATAAACGTTAACAAATTATTTAAAAAGATTAAAAACGATGGTCATAAAGACAAAAAGATTAAACCGAATTCAAAGTCATATTCAAACGAGAGGATGGTGGTTACTATTTCCCCTCTAGATTTGCCAAAACCAAAGGTTTGCTAGGATCCACTATTAGCAAACGTGTCAGGAAATGGGCCTTTCTATCCTGTTGACAGGTAGGTAAACTAGTTTGACTTTTTGGAAAGCAATCTGGAAATATCTATCATTCTGAATATACATATCCATTAGCTGAGAAGTTAAACTTTAAACCTGTGAGATCATGACCTGAGCTGAGATCAAGGGTCGGACACTTAACCCACTGAGCCACCCAGGCGCCCAAAAAACTTTTGTTCAGTTGCTTGTTAGAGAAATGCAGATCAAACTGGCTAAAACACAAAGGAAATTGAATGGCTTCCCTGAGGAGAAGTCCAGGGTAGTTCCTGCTTCCCCGGGATTGGATCCAGACACACAGTGTTCTCCACACCGTCTCTCCATCTCAACTCCCCTCGGTTTCATCACACAGAGACCCTGTGCATATCGTAGGCAAAATGGCAGAGCGAAGCCCTAGGCGCAGTTCCTGCCCGTTTAGCTATCCCAGTAGAAAGTGTTTCTCTCATCTTTCAGACAGCAGGCTCAGGGAAGGAGTGTGGAATGGAGGGGAACACTGCGGCCGACCCCCAGGGTCACACGGAAGGAAGAAGGCTAAGTGGCTCGGACAAGATGTTTGGGCACTAGTGCCAAAAAGACGACAGGGGTAGCTAGGGCATTCCATTCCAGGCCTCTCACGGTTCCTGCTTTTTTATTTTACATCAGCTATACCTTCAAATGGATTATAAAAATGATTTGGATATATGCCGTAAACCACGTTTAAGGGTTTAAAAAAAAAAAAGGAACCTTTTTATTTCAAAGTAGCTCAGTTCTCCAATTTTGGAAACGCTTGGGCTGATTTAACTGACCATACGGCAGATCACATATCAAATGTTGCTATCTTTGTAGCCAAGGCCATTAAAGGAAAAAGTAATAATACTAATTGGCTGTCTTTTTATAGCACCCAGGGAGAGGAATCAGAGCAAGTCATTTGAGGTAGTCACCTGTGCTTTCATTTTCCATCCACCAGTTGGGTAAACAAGTACAGAGTACACAAGTCAATTTGAAAAAAGCTGGTTTCCATTAATGATAAAACTGTTGCATCACTTTGCAGGATTAAGGTACCAAAAGAGAACTCCCAAGACTCTGACTCATTACATTTCTTCCTTTAAAGTTGGGAGTCTAGGGGCGCCTGGGTGGCTGTCGGTTGGGCATCCGACTTCGGTTCAGGTCATGATCTTACAGCACAGCTCGTGAGTTCGACCCCCGCGTCGGGCTCTGTGCTGACAGCTTGGAGCCTGGAGCCTGCTTCAGATTCTGTGTCTCCCTCTCTCTGCCCCTAACCCACTTGCATTCTGTGTCTGTCTCTCTCAAAACTAAACATTAAAAAAAAAAAAAAAAATTAAAGCTGGGAGTCTAGGGGTGCCTGGGTGGCTCAGTCGGTTAAGCATCTGACTTCGGCTCAGGTCACGATCTTGCGGTTCACCGTCAGGCTCACTGCCTTCAGCAGAGCTGGCTTCAGATCCTCAGTCTCCCTCTCTCTGCCCCTCGCCCACTTGCTCTCGCAATCAATCAGTCAGTCGGTCGGGAGTCCAAAACACTGCCAACCGGTGGTTATCTAACCAGCTTCCACGGGTCCTCAACATGTGGAACATACTTTACATCTCAGCTCCTATGTGGTCAAGAACAAATGGAATACACAAATATAACCAAGAAAAACTATCACATGAGCATCTACTATGTGACAAGTATTCTAGGTGTTAAAGATACAGCAGGGAACAAGTGTCTCATAGAAGCTTTCTTCATAAGTCACAGCTGTTGGTTATCTAGGACAGCCACATGAGATTTTTCCAATACACAGCTCTTACTACTTTTGACTGACTTCAACTGACTTCACCTTTCTCCAACATAATGTTTCCATTATTACCTAGGAACTTGTCAACCAGTAACTGTGTTCTTTTTTTTTAATGTTTACTTATTTATTTTTGACAGAGAAGGCAAAGGGCAGGGACAGAAGGGAGACCCGGATTTTGAAGCAGGCTCCAGGCTCCGAGCTGTTGGCACAGAGCCCGACTATTCACTGTGAAGCAGCATCTTCGATGTTGGTACTTTTCTTAGTTTTGAAACTGACAAAAATATGTGGATTTTTATGCCAGTGATTATTCACATCACAGTTCCCAGTGGGATATCTCTTCTTAAAGGGCTAATTTTCTACAGCTAAATGAGTGTGTGTGGGGAGGGGGGGATGGTACGGAAGGAGGAGAGTTAAGATTAAAACTCTTTAAAGCCCAACATTTTTAACTGTAGTTTTTATTTTGAGAAGTAAATTCAAACCCTCAATTTAAACTTTGACCTCTAAGGACGATCACTGTGCACCTATAAGAATTCAAAGTATAGTCTGTTATTTCTTTTGCTATCTTAGTACTTTAAACTTATTTTCCCATTTTTAAGATATAAACGGATTTCGATGTTTGGGTGTACATAAATGTTTCAGAACTTTTGCCATGGCTTAGCAATACTGGGTAACCAATGCTTATAATCACCTCTGAGCAAGAAAACCAAGGTGGTTATTTTCTGCCTTCCTAGGATGGTTCTTCATTAATTCCTACCACATAGGTCTAATTTAACTCTTATGTGTATTCATTTAACACAATTACTTTGTCCTGGAAATAAATATTATTGAGTATTACCTGTGATAACATTTCCTTCCTATGGCTTCACAACTGGCTAGTATTTTTCACTAGTCTCGGTCTCTCAGATCACGCTAAGTGCACACACGGCCTATGCTTGCAGGCTCTACTTGGAACCAATCCTGCCTCCCTCCCCAGGAATCCAGGAAAAGAGAAGAGAAAAGCATGCTCTGTACTACAGCTCAACACTAGTTTTCACTTAAAACTGGGCAGGCATCACTTAATTAAAACCATCCTTTAAAAACACTTTAGGAATCGGGAGAGAAATTTTGAAACCAAAGGTAGAGCAAGTGTCCATGTCTAAATAAAATGACAAAATGTGATACATGTTTAATAACAAGAAACTTTATTGGATTACAAATTTAAAAATGGATCACTTAATTTAAAAGTGGTACTATTTTAGTTTTATTCTTCCAAAAATGCACTTTATTTTTCAAGTGATAAAGGTTAATCTGAGAACTGACAAAGTAGAGATAGGACAGTACCAGTGGGTCAATGCTCACACATGGGGCCCCAACATGGACCTTTAATGTTGTCTTCTGTGTTACATCAAATTGATTT